TTTATTCAATCTTATCAACTATGTAACTACCGGTATGTAAATTGTTTCCTTACTTACAATGATGGTGACAGCATTCAATGGTAAAATTGGAGAGAGAGTAAATCTCTCCAGTTGGGACATAGGCATCATTAGAAACCTAACAGGGGTTTAACCGAACAGTATTGTATCCAAATGTAAAAAAAATAAAACGTTGAGCTTTAGATACACTTAACAATTAACCCTTGACCCTTCAGCGTAGAGGAAGGACGGCTGGCAACAGATGCCCCATAGTAAGCCTATGGGTGACATCATTGCCCAGGCTTTGCCGCCATTGTTGGCGATCTCTCCTCTACACTAAAGTCAGCACTGGGACCCGATCTTGTGACTGGATCAGAGAACCCTCAGAATAGGTATATACAGGTCCTTCCTTTACAGGGCATATAGAATAGACATAATGGGGATGAGAGTAGATTTAAGTATAGTTAGTGTTTGACTGAGCTTGAACTTTAATGTAACTCCTCCTTTACTGAAGCTATGGTGGAGTTACAACAGCCTTGCCCAACCTGCTAAACAGACCTTTTCCTCTGAGATGTGGCCAAAGGTATCTGCTGGGGTCTGATGAAGTCATTGGTTGATGATGGTGCACTGTAGTATTTGAACTATTCTTCTGGAAGATAAACCTAGTTTGGTTAATATCAGAGAAACCACACTCAAATACACAATGCAATTTATGCATATATCCAAAAAATTACCGTAGCCTCCCTGGCGGTATTCCCGAGTGTAGCTCGGGGTAAAGTTTCAGTACCACAAGCGGTAACCCCAAGCTACATTCGGGATTACCATGCGGCGCTGCTCTGGGATCTGTTCTTCTCTTACCTTGTCCTGCGCTCCCGCGATGTCCCTCCTGCAGTGTCCCCTGTAATGTCCTCCGGCTGATGCCAGCCTCTGTCTTCTGGGTTCCATCCCCTGCGACATCGGGATGTACGGGGGACGGAACGTCTGGAAATTTGAAATTGACAAAAAGTGACATTCACTAAATTCACTAAAATCACATAGTAGAACATTACTGTATCAAAGCATTTCACATACATTTTATCCCTAGTGCTTTGTCCTGTGCCCTGCCTACATTTTTACTATTCTTTCTGCCTGGAAACTGAGAAACATCCATGGTGTCCAAAAAGCGGCTGTTTAGGTCAAAATCGGTTTTAGACCAGCTAGAGAACAGCGATAGTAAATTAGAACTGCTTGCATAATTGAGTGATAATGATTCGTGGGGAAATTCATCATCAGACAATTCAAATTTCAATGTTTTTGGTTTGATTATATTATTGAATTAAATTTATTATTATTTTATATGATTATTTATTAAATTATAATTTATGATTTCGTGTTTAAAATTTTAACATACCCGGGATGTTTACTAGACTCTTGTTCGGACAGATTTCAGTGAGTTATTCCTAAAAATTATAAAAAAAAACATACTTCCATGCAAAAAAAGTACCGCTTTGAGCACAGAAATATGGACATAATCAGACCGCTAGGGAGGTTAAAGTCAGTGTAAAGACTGAAGGTTTTTTTTACCTTAATGCATTCTCTGCATTAAGGTAAAAAAACCTTCAGACTGCAGAAGCCCCCCTAAATACTTACCTGAGCCCAATTTCATTGAGCAATGTGCACAAGAGCAGTGGCTCTCTAGGCTCTCTCCCTTCTTATTAGCACAGAGACAGCAGCTCCTGCTACTGTCAATTACAGCTAGTGAGAAGGGAGCAGAGGACGGGTCAAGCCAAGCTCTGTGTGTCAGTGGACACACAGAGCTGACTTGGGAACCAGCCAGCAAACGGCTTACTATGGGTTCACTCTACGAAGGGGGGGGGGGCCAGGAGCACCAGCGGTGGAGCCAAGAAGAGGAGGATCGGGACTGCTCAGGGCAAAACCATTTCAAGAGCAGTCAAGTATGACATGTTTGTTAATGCAAAAATATTTACAGGTTTACAATCACTTTAATAGATTGAAAGATTAAAGTTTAATCCTATATTTTGCCTTCCCTGGATCCTTGTTTTCTCCCTCATCAACATGCTAATTAAATAAAAAAAAAAAACATTTACAGTGAATACTCAGTGATGGCTTTCTGAAAATATCCTAGCACCGTGCCATAGTACTTCCCTCAAGAGTCATCAGCTCTGTTGTATGCATTGGGCTGACGTTTGGGAGGATTTATACTCTGTCTGACTTGCTTGAGAATCCTACAGTGTACAGCGAAATCAGAGTACTGTAAGTAATAAAGTAATCTCAGTACAGGAGAGGAGCCTGTGCATGACTGAAGGTAAGACTGGAGTTCCCTTTTGCCTATAAAGCCTAATATACTGGTATAGACTTCTGCCATGCATGGGACCCAAATAACCTACCCAATAAGGAAAATATGACTGTAAGAAGTAGGAGATCAAATTTTGATAATCCACCAAGATGCAGAAGTTTTGCTCAGGTGTTTAAAATCTGGATCCAGTTTGCATGGCCTAGTCTATTAAAAAGTGGCTTATGTAGCTCCCAGGTCAGAATGCATGGCCCATTTTCAGTGGGTATTTCTAGATTTCAAACTTATGCCAAAACAAATCCTACTTACTGGATGTGTAAATATATTCCATCCTCTCAGGGATAATAGTAAATGAGTGCATACACATATACAGAATAATCTATCTACTTCCATACCTTGAAACTTTTGTGGAAAACATCATGTTAATTTTGTACATAGACAGAAGAAGCTTTAAATATTAACATCCCATTGGAATAGATCAATCGTTTTACTGAAGTTCTATAAACACTTTCATTTTAGGGTCTTGTGCTTATCAAGAAAGACTTGTAGCGGTTTCTGAGATCAAACAGCTTCTCCACTAATTTGTTGTCTTTGGTACCAAGAACACTTTCCATGTGTAACCAGTCAGAGATTTCTGTAGGAGTACACACAATCCAAACTCATTTCCGTCTTATCTGTTCATCTTTTCAGGAATGTCCATTTGTTGGTTAAAATAATTAAACATTAAGTATGTAGGGTGCGGCTATTTAAAATGTGGATAATGAGGGAAAAAGTCACTGTGCTCCAGGGCAAAGCTGAAGGCATGTTTCACTATTAATAGCATAATTTATTCATTAAAGATTAACACGTTGCTGCCAGATGGAAGGGTAATTTTTTTATTCTGGTTATTATATGTCCTTTAATATTAACAGCTCATTTTCCATCATTCTTCCACTCTAATCTTTAGCCAATCCGCTACTGTTTATTAAATGACGGCTCCACTTCTCTGAAAAATCTGATACAATTAAGATGCTGAGGAAAAGCATAAACTCTGTAATTCATTTTATAATAGCTGTTAATTTTGTAGATTATGGGAAATTTCCCAATTTTTCTTATTGTCATTGGATATTTATAGACTCAGCCTTGCCCTTTTAATGGCTATCAGCATTCATACCACAAATACAGTTTCTTTTACAATTCTTCCATGCCTAGGATTCAAATGTGGATAATTGTTTTGGCCTCAATGAATGCATATAATATTTGGCCTCTATACTACCTTCTATACTACTATCTAAAAGATCACCTTCAGCAGCAAGTGTCTTGTTACAGATCAAATCTATTAAAGTTGAAGCTTAGTTATACGTAAAATCTGATAAACAACACCATATTTCCCTTCTTGGACTACAAACAGTAGAACCCAATACTGAGAAGAAGTTTTTGCTTGTCTCTTTCAGGTATGGAATGAGGCTCTATTTAAAACCTTAAACCTCTCCATTTCAGTTTCACATTTTGGGATTTAACTAGCTGTTGTGGTCAGAGACCCAATTTTCTCTGGACACTGTATTACCTGCAAAGTGTTTCTCATTTCATATATGGTATCTTGGGTTGGTCTCCTTTTTGGCCATCTTTGTTCATCCTCTTCACAGCATAACAAGTTATCCTGACAAATTGGGCAGTGCCACCCAATCTAGCAATCACACCCTTCTGAATATAGATGAAACATTAAAGCATATCCACTTAGGACTGTTGCCTGTGTTTTTACCACTCAAGCCTCTGTGCTTTGAGTCTCAGTGATATATTATTGCATTTCTGCCTGACCCTGCACTACCTAAACCACTATCTAATGCAACTCCAATTGAGCCACATTATCTGGGCTAGTGAATTTCAAGTCTTAGCTATGGATTGCACCTGATGCTTCATCTGTGTTGACTTGGAATCAAATTCACTGTCCTCTTTTCAGGAAACATCTCTCCCACCTTAACGGAATATCACAGAAACATTTCCTTTTCCAGAGTAAGTCCTACCGTAGTGGTAAAGTCTTGTTATTTCTCCTCTTACAAAGCTTTCTCTTCTCTAATTTATTTCAATAATTTGAAATAAGTGGTGCATCTTTAGGGTCTTTTTCAGGAATTTTAAAATTATAGTTCTTCCTGCAGGACTTCTCCCGCTGTCAGCAGTTTGGGGGTCAATCCCTTTCTTTTGGTTAATCTTATGTAGAATCGTATCTACTCAAACAATGTGATTGAACCATGTCCCTTCTTTTTGATAGGTTTGCTCACAGCAGAATAAATAATGACTCCTATTGGGCTTGGATCTGTCTGTCTTGGATCCCTGGAGCTTGTTGCCGATGGGCTCACCTGGATTAGCTGAACTTTGTTGTCCCCAGTTAGCTGTAGATTTATGTCCCAAAAACAGGCCTTAATGTCTTTTCTCAAATCTAGTATCATCTAGGCATATGAGGTATCGGGGTCTGTCCATGTATCTAGGACATGCTCCTGATCATCAGTGACCAGCCTTAACTGGACCCAAAACTCACCGACATACCAACCGTCTTAAATGGGCTTTATTTAGCAAAGAATGAAAGCCCTGCAGAGAAAATTTTTATAAGGTAGTATATAGTATAAAGTTTCAGACAAGCATGGTTATAACTGTATATAAAAGGTCAGCAATATGACCTATCCATAATTCAGGGGCCATAACTATAACACTAGCCAAAATGGTGCATGAAGAGAACTATAATTTAATTGGCATTGCTGAATCTTGGCTTCATTCTTCACATAACTGGGCCATTAATATTCCTGGCTATGTTCTCATTCGGAGAGACAGAGTAAATAGGAAAGGTGGTGGTGTCTGTCTCTATGTGAGAAGTGATCTCAGAGCGAGTGTGAAAGAGAACCTAGTTGATGGAGAGTGTGATGAGGCTGAAGTATTATGGGTGGAACTGCACATGTGGGTGTGTACTATAAAGGTAATCATTGGAGTTTGTTATAGGCCTCCCAGTGTTAACCTCCCTAGCGGTATGATTATGTCCATATTTCTGTGCTCAAAGCGGTACATTTTTTTGCATGAAAATATGTATTTTTTTTTATTGTAGGCCTGTAATTTTTAGGAATAACTCACTGAAATCTGTCCGAACAAGAGTCTAGTAAACATCCTGGGTATGTTACAATTTGAAACATGAAATCATAAATTATAATTTAATAAATAATCATAAAAAATAATCTAATAATAAATTTAATTCAATAATATAATCAAACCAAAAACACAGAAATTTGAAATATAGCGCCAAGTTTGCACGTCAATGAGCAAAGTCGCAAAATCGTTTTCAGTGTCTGACGACGAATTTCCCCACGAATCATTATCACTCAATTCTGCAAGTGGTTCGAATTTACTATCGCTGTTCTCTAGCTGGTCTAAAACCACTTTTGACCTAAAGGGACGCTTTTTTGGACGCCATGGACATTTTTATCAGTTTCCAGGCAGAAAGAACATTAAACATGCAGGCAAGGCACAGGACAAAGCACTAGGGACAAAATGTATGTGAAATGGTTTGATACAGTAATGTTTTACTATGTGATTTTAGTGTATTTAGTGAATGTCACTTTTGTCATTTTCAAATTTCCCGCCAGTTCCGTCCCCTGTACGTCCCGACACTCGCAGGGGACGGAACCCAGATGACAGATGCCGGCATCCGCCAGAGGACATTGCCAGGGACACTGCAGGAGGGACATCGCGGGAGCACAGGACAAGGTAAGTGAAGAATCTGGAGCAGCGCCGCATGGTAAGCCCGAGTGTAACTCGGGGTTACCGCTTGCGGTACTGAAACTTTACCCCGAGCTACACTCGGGAATATCGCCAGGGAGGTTAATGAGGAGGTGGAAACTCAGCTCCTTGCGCAGATCCAAAGGGCTGCAAGGGCTGGGACAGTGATAATAATGGGGGATTTTAACTACCCAGAAATTGACTGGAATAATGGTAGTACAGGAACAGTTAAAGGGCAAACATTTTTAAACCTACTACAGGACAATTTTATGGTACAGTTCATAGAATCCCTACTAGGAATGATGCTCTGCTGGACCTGGTAACCTCAAACCATGCAGAGCTTATTATGAATGTCCATATAAAAGAACATCTGGGTAGCAGTGACGATTTAATTTACTGTTAGCTGTAAACAGCAAGAAAAATAAAAACGCTCAATTTCAAGAAAGCTAATTTTCTAAGGCTGAGAGCTGCTCTCCAAAACTTAGACTGGGAGGGAATATTGGCATCGATGAACACAACACAGAAATGGGAGTTCTTCAAAAAGACACACTGCAAAATGTATTCCCATGGGCAACAAGTTTAAAGGCTAAAAATCAAACCTATGTGGCTTACGGCCAAAGTTACAAAAGCTATAGATAATAAGAAAAGAACATTGATTAAATATAAAAATGAAGGAACACTATCATCGTTTAAACATTATAAAGAATTTAACAGAATATGCAAAAAGGAAATGAAGGCTGCAAAAATTGAAAACGAACGACAGATTGCAAAAGATAGCAGGACCAACCCCAACAAATTCTGCAAATATATTAATAGTAGAAAGCATGTAGGCCCTTTACAAAATAATCTAGAGTGGGTGACTGGGGACAAAGAGAAGGCACATTTATTTAATACCTTCTTCAGCTCTGTGTATACAAAGGAGCATGGGGGAGCTCTTGTCCGTAATGGGCATGGTATTGACACAGCTCCAGATGATCCACATTGGCTTACAATTGATATGATCAAAAAATATTTAGACAGTATAAAGGTGAATAAAGCACATGGACCAGATGGAATACACCCACGGGTCCTTAAAGAATTGAGCTCTGTCATTTCCTGTCATTTCAAAGCCATTGTTTCTAATTTTTAGGGACTCTTTAATGACTGGCATAGTACCACTGGATTGCCGTAAGGCCAATGTGGTGCCAATATTTAAAAAGAGGTCAAAATCTTTACCAAGTAATTATAGACCTGTTAGTTTAAATTCTATAGTTGGGAAGATATTGGAGAGTTTAATAAAAGACCACATAGATGAGTTATTGCTGGAAAAAAGATTTTAAGCAACAGACAGCATGGATTCATGAAAGGCAGAAGTTGTCAAACAAATCTGATTTCTTTTTAAGAGGGGGTGAGCAAAACCTTGGATAGAGGGATGATGGTGGACGTGGTATACTTGGATTTTGCAAAAGCGTTTGACAAAGTTCCCCACACATGGCTAATGTGTAAGGTAAAGTCTGCGGGCTTGGAAAAATCTGTATGTAAATGGATAGAAACTGGCTAAAAGATCGTAATCAAAGAGTAGGGGTTAATGATTCATATTCTGAATGGTCTAGGGTCATCAGTGGTGTACCCCAAAGTTCAGTGTTGGGACCCTTACTTTTTAATATATTTATAAACAGTTTAGGGTCTGAGATTAAAAATACCATTTCAGTCTTTGCAGATGACATCAAGCTGTGCAGTGGAATAACGTCCTTACAGGATGTCTTCAACTTACAAGCCGACCTCAATGCTCTGTGTAATTGGACAACTATGTGGCAAATGAGGTTTAATGTTGATAAATGTAAGGTTATGCACTTGGGGGCTAAGAATATGCATGCATCATACATACTGGGGGGGGTACAACTGGGGGAATCAATGGTGGAGAAGGATCTGGGAGTTCTGGTAGATCACAAGCTTAATAATGGCATGCAATGCCAAGCTGCAGTTTCTAAAGCAAGCAAAATCCTCTCTTGTATTAAAAGAGGTATAGACTCCAGAGAGAGAGATATATTACCCCTGTACAAATCATTAGTAAGACCTCATCTGGAATATGCCGTTCAGTTTTGGGCATCAATTCACAGAAAGACCATTGGGGAACTGGAGAAAGTACAGAGAAGGGCAGCCAAACTGATAAGAGGAGATCAGCTATGAGTAAAGATTAGAGGAACTGAATTTATTCTCTCTTGAGAAAAGGAGGTTAAGGGAGATATGATCAACATGTATAAATACATCAGTGGTTCATAAAGTGAACCTGGTGTAGAGTTATTCACCCTGAGGTCATCACAGAGGACAAGGGGGCACTCTTTATGTCTGGAGGAAAAGAAATTTAATCTCTAAACACGGAAAGGTTTCTTCACAGTGAGAGCTGTGAAAATGTGGAATAGACTCCCTCAAGAGTTGGTTCTTGCCAGCTCAGTGGATTGCTTCAAAAAAGACCTGGATTCTTTCCTAGATACACAGAATATAACTGGATACTAACATTTATAGGTAAAGTTGATCCAGGGAATATTTTTTGCCTTCCGCTGGATCAACTGTGGGTTAGGATTATAACTTTTTTTTTTTTTATGGTTGAACTTGATGGACTTTTGTCTTTTTTTCAGCCAGACTAACTATGTAGCCAGTGGGGGTCTAGCATACAGTCTGCAGGCATTGGGGCCCATGAAATCCCATAGGAGTGCTCTCCCTCTCTATCAAGACTACTTATACTCTAAAGGAAGATTATAAAAGTTCTGGGCTGACTCTCTATGTGCCAACAAATTCCCCAAACAGCCAGCAACAAGATCAATATTAAACAGGTGGCCAAAAGGCCTCTCACCACTAATCCCATCCAGAGTCCAAGGGTCTGTGGTCCACTCTCTAGAGGTCAGGCCAGAAGTCGCACTATCCCCTTCTCAGGCCTGTACTAACTGGATCCTCAGGCTTCTCCCTCTTATAGTGCAGATGTTAGGTCTTGGTGTGGTTTCTATGGTCCTGCAGAGGGTAGAGCTAGATGTATTCCACAATTTTAGAGACTTCTCCTGAATTCAGGACAGTCTTTTTGGGCACTCTATCTCTGCTCCTCTTCTTGTACTGCAGCTCTGTTACTGGATCCAGGCTTACTTCCCAGCTGAAAAGTTCCTCCCTGCTGGATTACCAGCAGTTCAGTTTATCCCAACAAACTCTCTTCCCCTCTGGAAAGGCCCTTTTAGATCTCTCAGCAGATGGCTGGATCTCTGCGATCAGTAATACAGCAGGCATAATCTTTCCCTGTAGAAATGAGACAAACCAATTAACACTAGCAGGGGTGCTTACAATGATAAGCTTTATTTTATGTATAACCTTTATCCCAAAAGAAAAAAAAAAAGGTTTCCTGTAATTGCTGATAAAGTATTAGCAGGAGTTCGGATTCAATTTGTTAATGTTTTTAAATCTGCTAGTACATCTAACACTCCCCTCCCCCCATGCTGACAATGCTGCTGTTCAAAGGTGCCCCTTCACCCAGAGTGAGTGTACTCTAATACAGGAAGTGTGCCACTGGCCAGATCACCAGGTGAGAACAGAGGTAGAAAAAAGTCTAAGAACAGAAAACTAATCACATCACATCTAATGATTGGTAAGCTGCAATCTATTACAATTTTGGTTTTGGGTTTAATACAGTTTTAGCTAAAAGTGTGTCTGTGAAGTGGGGCACCTGTACAATGCAAAAGTGATATTTACAAAGAAAATAATGGACATTTAAATTGCCGTTCAGTAAATAATATTTCCCAGCTGTTCTTTTAAGTTAATGAGTAAGGGGTACATAGTTCCCCTGGTTACTCAATAACAAAAAAAAACATAAATAAAAGTAAATAAATACACACACCTTTGACAAGGTACTTGCCCCCCAGAGGATTTACCCCCCTTCCTGACTAGGCCTTTTTTTTGCTATCTCAGCTGGTAATTGCGCGGTCATGCAATGCTGTACCCAAACAAAATGTATGTCCTTTTTTCAGAGCATTCTTTCAGTGGTATTTGATCACCTGTGTGCTTTTTATTTTTTGCGCTATAAACAAAAAAAGACCGAAAACCAATATTTTTTACTTTCGGCTATAAAAAATATTTAGTAAACTGAAAGTTAGTTTTAAATTTAGGCCAAAATGTATTCTTCTACATGTTTTTGGTAAAAAAAAAAATCCCAATAAGTGTACATTGATTGCTTTGTGTGAACGTTTATAGCATCTACAAACTATGGTATAGATACTGCAATTTACGTAAATGTTTTGCTATACAGCGCTGTGCTAGTTTAACTGCCAATTGTGCAGTCATGTAATACTGTACATAAATGAAATGTATGTCCTTTTTTCACATAAATAGAGCTTTCTTTTGGTGGTATTTGATCACCTTTGTTTTTTTTTGCGCTATAAACAAAAAAAGTACAACTTTTTTTTAAAAAACTATATTTTCTCATTTCTGTTATAAAAAATATCTAAAAAACCTCAAATTTCTTCATTAATTTAGGCCAAAATGTATTTTGCTACATGTCTTTGGTAAATAAATCCCCAATAACTGCATATTAATTGGTTTGTGTGAAAGTTATAGCATCTACAAACTATGGTATAGATACTGGAATTTACACACCTTTTATGTTCTGACTGCCTAACACATTTCTATATGTATAGCCTGTTGCCCTCTCACAGGTCTTCTACATCTTGACCCCATATCTGGCACGCTCGCTGGGGAGAAATTATTTGAATGCAAGACGGCCAGAAAAAAATAATGAGAGACTCATCAACACAGATGTTTTGCTGGGGAGTATAGACATCTGCAAATTTTTGGTTAAAGTGATTTACGAGGGGCCAAATTTTTTGGAGCCGGTCAAATTCAGGGTCACTCCGAGGACTACAGAGTGTATTGTTATTGAAATGCATAAAACACATTATACTCTCATATCTATGCCTGGCCATGGCAGCAGAGAACACGGTATATGATGAATCCGGTTTGTGGACCAATACAACCGCAATTCATTTTTTTTAGTAATGCCCATGTTGAGGGCTAGGTCCAAAAAAATTTTAAATTCGGAAACTGTAATCGCTTTCCATGCAAATGGTCTGGCAAGGTTTGAATTTGGGTTGGTGGCGATAAACTGTTGTGCATATAAATTGCTTTGATCCACAATCAATGCATACAGATCTTCCGTGAAAAACAGCTCCCACAAATTAAGGGGAGTAGTTACATTTGCTGTTTCCACCTGAATTCCGGGCTGGGCAGTGAATGGGGGAAGTACGGGTGCTGCAGAACTTGTGGGCTGCCAATCAGGATT